AAAGGAAATTTAAGGAATCAGCTGTGAGCGGAAGAATGCGGACGGCAGTGCGAAGAGTAACTCATGAGAGCAATTAAGAGACGATAGTCAGGATGAAAAAGGTTTACTACTAAAGTGTGGTGAGCCAAGGACGCTATCGTGCGAAGTATGAAACGTTCAGTTCTGAAATAGCACCGGTAATATCCCGGTAATCTGAGAGAACTCTGAGAGCCGGAGACCGAACAGACGAGACTCGAGAAGTCGACACATCCGGAGGCCTCGTAGTCGTCCCAGAGAATTTCACTGATCAGATGATGACAAAGAAGGGCATGGCACTAAGCGTCGGTCATCCGATTGAAGATTTGAGGGCGCAGGTTACTGATGGAAGTGCCTATATTAATAAAGGGTAAACAAGTCTAGCGGGCTGTCAATGTAAGCGAGACATAGTTGTGAGTCTAGAGAGATTAGATCGGTATATCTTGCTAGTCTGGAAAAGTTCAAAGGAGCATACCGGTCAGATGAGACTAGGTTATTACAAGGCACTAAGAGCTGGCAGTCCGATTAGAGAAGAAATGATAGAAGAGGGGCCATAAGGAGAGGAGACGGTCCGGATAGAGAGAGGTTTACTTATAAGGTGTGGAAAAGCCCACGGGGCTCGCGAGGTAATGGGGACGGAGCGTTCAGTCTTCCGAGCATAGCAGGCAGCGTCGCAGAAGTAGGAGAGAAGAAGGTTTTCGCTAAGTCCCTGGACTTCGTGACTGACGTTTCATGCAGTGCACCTCTAGGGTCTAGCGATCACGCATGCATATCCTTTCGATGTGCTCTTTCAAGGCACCAAGAGACCGCTGTGGAATTACTTCCGAATATTTGGCGGGCGGACTTTAGTGCAATGCGAACTAAGGCTTCAGTTCTGAACTGTGAGATCTCGATGGCTGACTCTGTTCAGTTAGCCTGGGAAAAATTTAAGGCATACCTTACGGAGGTTTCCGCTCCCTATATTCCACTCATTAGGAAAGAGGGTTAAGGGCACAGCCTCCATGGATAGATACCACAGGCAAGTACCTACTCAAGAAACGGTCTAGATGCTGGCGAACCTACCAAGCAGCTCCATCAGCCAGTACCTATGATAGTTATCGAGAGAATAGAAATAAATGTAAGCAACATCTAAGAGCTGCTCGTCTCCAATACGAGCAGGGTTTAGCGGACTCGGCCGCAGCTAATCCCAAGAAAGTTTTTGCTTACGTTAAAAGACGCAGCGGGGCAAAACTGTCTATACCAGCTTTATTGCGAGCAGACGGGACCCGTGCGCAAACTGACTATGACAAGGCTTGTATACTGAGTGATCAGTATACTGGGGTCTTTGCTCAGGAGACCTCTTTACCACAGGTTGAATTGGTTTCAAGAGTTCCAGAGGATTTTTGCTTAGCTGAATTTAGCATAACGGAGACTCAGGTCTTCGAGCTACTGCAAGGCATTAATCCCTCTAAAGCTTCCGGTCCTGATTCAATTCATCCGAAGCTGTTGCATGAACTGGCCACTGAGCTGAGTGGTCCGCTCACGTGCGTATTTTTAATATCGCTGGACAGCTGCAGCCTACCTTCGGAATGGAAGGAGGCAATCATCTGTCCGATTTTTAAGGGCGGTGACAGCGCTCTACCCGCGAACTACCGGCTTGTCAGTTTGACAAGCGTAGTAGTCAAGTTGTTCGAGAAGCTGATAAGGGATTCAGTGAAGAACCACCTGAATCGATTCAACCTTCTCAGTGTTGCACAACATGGATTCCGCTAAGGAGTTTCATGTCAGACTAATTTACTTGTAGCTCGTGAAAGCTGGGCCGAAGCGGTAGACAGTGGCCACGCTGTAGACGTGCTATTCGTAGATTTTTCGAAAGCTTTTGACACTGTTCCAAATCTTCGGCTCTCAGTAAAGTTGAGATCTTACGGGATATCTGGTCGCGCCCTTCAATGGGTGTCTGCCTTCCTTGAAGGGAGGAAACAGTGTTTACGGGTGGGGCGTAGCCTTTCGCTCAGGCAAGCTGTCCTTAGTGGCGTCTCGCAGGGCTCGGTATTGGGGCCATTGTTGTTCGCGATTTATGTAAATGACTTGCCGGGCGAGTTAGGGGTGTCATCATTAATGTTTGCTGACGACCTTAAGCTCTGGAATATTGTGGATACCCCGGGGGTCCTGAGGCAATTCAGGGTGCCTTGGATAGGCTCTGGGAATGGTCTATCTTATGGTTGATGCCCATAAATAGGGCGAAGTGCTCTGTTCTCCGAATCGGAGCTGCAAATCCTCCCACCCGATATGTTCTCGGCGGTGGTGAACTCCCTGTTGTCACTCAGCAGGTTGATTTAGGAGTCGTACACGCATCAGCACTTCATTCTGGAGACAACTGGAAGAAGGCTGCTTGTCGAGGGTTATCGTATGATGTGGTTTATCCGCCGCTCTTTCGGAATCTTAACGGCCAATTTGTTTGTAAAGCTATTTTCGGCATTCGTCCGACCCCACCTGAAATATTGTATTCAGGCTTGTCCACCATGTCTTAACCGAGACAAAATGGACTTGGAGAGGGTGTTACGAGTGGGCACTCGGTTAGTGCATGGGGCTACGGGACAGACGTATCCTGAACGCTTGCTCAGTTTGGGTATGTACTCCATGCACTACCGAAGGATAAGAGGGGACCTGATTCTCACTTATCGTATTTTGACGGGTAAGATTGGCCCGGACTTGTCAGGGCTTTTTAGTCCCGCTACGTTACCTAGTCTCCGCGGTCACCCACTGAAACTGCATAAACCACGGTCTGATAGGATTAGGACGGAAACTCGTCTATCGCGCCGAGTTATAGATCGCTGGAATTCGCTTCCAGATCACGTGGTTAGGGAACCTACAGTTAAGGGCTTTGCGCGCCAGCTCGATGCTCTTGGGTGGCAACAGCAAACCTTTCCTTTTTCCTAGCTGACTCACCTTCACTTTTCAGTTCTTTTTTTATTGACTCAAATATCTTGGTATTCCACTTGCTTAGCTCTTACCACTTTCTCTTTTGCCTTCTGCGTTTACTTTTTTCTCTTTCTTACTTCACGTAACCGACCCAGCAGGGACTGCTAGGGCAGGATACGTGGGCATTAATTGGTTGGACAGGGTGTGATGCGGTCTTTGTTTTAGGTCCATCAGTATTTCAAAGTTCGCTAACTCCTGGTTCAACGACCCGCCGAAGAAGGAACACTCACGAGATAATCCTATCGTTCCAGTCCCGCTTGAACTTGACCTTATAACTTCCCAAGACACCTTGAGAAAGGTCGCGGCCGCAAACAGGATGCTGCATGCTCTACACAGGTCGTTCTCCCTTATCACCCCGGCAAGTTTCAGAACTCTGTTACCATCACATATCCGCCCGATATTGGAGTATGGGCTTCCAGCTAACAACCCTTTCTTAACATCTGAATGCGACTTACTAGAAAGAGTGAAGAAGCGCGGCTCGAAATCCGTCACGGAGCTTCGTGGGCTTGCTTACACTCTTCCACTCAGAAAGCTGAACATGATGCCAATGGATTACCGTCGGCGCTGTGGAGATTTCATCTACAACGGACGGGTCCTAAGAGGAGAACTTGGAAGTGAGGTAGAAACGCACTTTCGGCTCAGGGTAGACGGCTCGACACGGGGCCACAAGTGGAAATTGTACAAGAGCAGAATACTTCACGTTTGTCCAGAGGCTGCCGTATCAATTCGGGTAGTGCATGATTGGCACAGCCTACCTGAGATCATTTCTGATGCCCCGACAGGGGAAAGTTTCAAACGGCGGCTTGACTGCCATTTGAAGAGTATTGCAGGGCTCTGCTACTCCTACTGGACGGCGACGATAACCAGAGCAATACTGCTTCTCAGCCAATTACGTCAAACCTGTGCTGAATCTGAAGCGACGGACCTGATAAGGGTCCCCCCAACTGCTACCTACACACCAACGAACCAATGAAATAATTCGCTCTGCGAGGTAGGTGCCTTAAGAAGATCATTCGCTTAAATGACTCCCGAGATTTTTCGACCGTTGTTCACTTCGTACGTCCGTCCAGTCTTAGAATATGGCCTACCAGCTAGCTATCCGCTTTCAAAGTTTGAAAGCGCTGTACTGGAAAAAGTCAGAGACGTGCATCAAAAGCTGTTCTGGGGCTACGTGATCTCCCGTACCCCATTCGACTCCAGAAGCTAAGCCTGTTCTCCCTCGAGCTCCGCTGTCGCCGGGGTGACCTCATCTACACTAGACGCATCCTCCGAGGGGAACTTGGAAGCGAGTTACAACAATTCTTCCGGCCCAACACTGACTGTTCCACCCGAGGGCACACATGGAAGCTGTTTAAGCAAAGAAGACACAAAATTCGCAAGGACGTCACCCTATCCACTACAGTTGTGAATGACTGGAACAGCTTACCGGAAGCAATTGCAGACGCTCCATCCGAGGAAAGTTTCAAGCGGCTGCTAGACAAACTTTCGCTGAAAATGCTGGAATCTTGCGGCTGTCACTGCAATTACGACGTACCCTCGAGGAACGTCGTAACGCAACGACACGCATCAAACCCAGTATGACACTGAATCGATGGGGCTGACAAGGGTTTTCCCTCCTGCTCTCTATAACTCAATGAACTCAATGGACGCAGAACCTCAACAACTCTCTTCATTTTAAATCGGACATCTCAGGAGAGTTCACTTAGAACATGGAAAATCTCCCAGTTGAGACAGATAAGCCCATTGGAGGGTGCGACTTCCTTTATCTTTTTTTTGACCCTAATATTTTTAAGTGGTAGATCTTGTAGTGGTCATTTGGCTTTTTACAGAATCATACATATGTATAAATTACTCACTGCATGTAATACTATGCAGCCTCTATATATTTAGTTTGGTTCTTACTACTTCATTAAGTATATCTTTTTGCGGTATTTATCGTAGGTCACTTGAAGGCCAGTGTTTCTTTTACCTCTGTGAGTACAAATATCCCTCTGTACAGCCGCCTTTTGATCGTGTAGCCATTGATGCCGTCGACTGCATTTGAGTCGGGCGATAAAGTGGACGGTGTAAAGCAATTTAAGGCTGTTATATTAATTGGAGGTCCTTTCAAAGGTTCTATAATTTAGCTTGGTTAGATTCAGTACAGGTACGCGGTTTCGACCCCTCTCCTTGGAATTGCCGAAACCGTTATTTCCTATCGCCGGCTTTCCAGTTATTTATCATCACATTGAGGCTTTTTCGAAAGTATTTTCTTTTGTCAACCTATTGCTAAGCTTTAAAGCTTCCAGGATTACAGGAAATTATACTTCTAGGATTTTATCAACCTCACGAATCGCTGAGCCAACTGATCAGCAGTACACAGCGAGAGTTTAATGTTACCGTTAGGTAAGTCATTCGGTTTTAATGTTTGAAAGGATTTCTGAATGAAGTTGCTAAGTTACTTCAGTTTTAACCTGCGTCGTTTACCTGGATCTGGTTTTTCCCTAGCGTTCTATCCCACCTTCCTTTGCATCCACCTTACCGGTCAATTTGAAGTTCAAGTTCAGTTGGGACCGGAACGATAGGTTAATCCCGTGAATGCTCCTTCTTTTGCGTATTGTCCGATCAGGAATTGATAGGTATGGTTGAGATGTTGAAAAGCCTAAAACAGAGACCGCATCACACCCTGTCCAACCAATTACTGCCCACATTTTCCTGCCCAACAGTCCCTGTCAGGCTGGTTTATGTGAAGTAAAAGAGTGAAGGGTAAGCTTAGAAAACAAGAGGAGGAATGTCAGTTAAATAATGATAATACCAAGCTGTGAAAAGAAATTAAAGAAGACGAAGGGAAACTTGAAGATACAAGTCAGTTAGGAGAAGGGGAAGATTTGGTACTGCAACCCAAGAGCATCTAACTGACGCTCGAAACCCTCAACCGTAGACTCCCTAACGACGTGCTCCAAGTTCTAAGCTTCAACAACGGTGCGACAAACGAGTTTCCGTCAATACCCGGTCAGAACGCAGTTTGCAGCTTCAACTCGTGACCTCGGAGACTAGGCAGCTTGGCGGGACTAAATAGCCAGGACAAGGCTGGACCGACCTTACTCGTTAAGATACGGTAAGTGAGGATCAAGTCTCCTCTAATTCTGCGGTAGTGCATTATATACCCAAGCTAAGCAAACGTTCAGAATACGCTTGCCCCCGTAATCTCTACGCTAACCTTGTACCCACTCGCAAAACCCTCTTCAGTTCACTTTTATTCCTCACAAGACATTGTGGACAAGCCTGGATACAGTATTCTAAGTGGAGTCGCTCAAAAGCTGAGAACAGCTTCACAAAGATATTGGCCATTAGGACACCGAAGGAGCGGCAAATAAACCACATTATACGGAACCCTCTACAAGCAGCCTTCCTCCAATGGTCCCCAGGTTGAAGCACTGAGGCATGGCTGATACCTAGATCAACCTGCTGAGCGACAACAGGGAGTTCACTTCCACCAACTACATAACGCGTGGGGGGACTAGCACCTCCAATGCAGAGGACAGAACATTTCGCCTAATTTATAGGCACCAACCATAAGGTTGACCAATCCCAGAGCCTATCCAAGGCACTCTGAAGGGCCTCAGAGCCACCAGGGATATCCGCAATATTCCAGAGCTTGAGGTTGTGGTGGAGTAAAAACTAGCCTTAAACTGCCGCACCGGAAGGAAAGGATTAGTGTCAGATAAAGGTATCAACACGCTGATCTTCAGTAGTGATAGTTGGACTAACTCCACTGATATTGCACACTTCCTGATAGGTTATTCCGGTGTTGGTTCCGCGAAGCTCAGACTTTCCAAGCACACCAACAAAGCAATCGCAACACGCCGCCCCAGGAAAGCAAAACGCGCCGTTCGAGGTCGAGAATTGTGTATATGAAAAAACGGTCAATTAAAACAACTGTACAAGACGCATAGAAAAAGGAGATGAGAAAAGCGCAGGACTCCTCTCCTAGAGCGTGCGTGGACAAGCGAATGCTCGAAATGTACGTCTCACTGATTGTAAAACGCTAGTTTAGAAGGAAGAACCACCGTACGACCAAAACGTGCGCGTTTGCGTGTGTGAGTGGTTGCAGGGGGGCTGCAGGGGGTTGTGAAGAAAGGACACTGGGATCACACATAGGCTGTGTAGGGGGAGTGCTCGGCGATGGATCGTCCTCGGGAACAGATGCGTCTGAAGATTGCTGAGGCGGAAGTGGTTCGATGTAAGCAGGTTTCAAACGATCGATGCTTATAGAGTCTTTGTAATCATTTCGGTCCAACACAAAATACTTGTCCTTGCGATCGATAACTTTGTAAGGACCCTCGTAGGGTGGCGTCAGAGGTTTACGAACAGTATCGATGCGCACATGAACGTAGTGGCAATCGCGTAGATCAGGATGGACCTGTGGGTTACGAAGCGTGAGTCGTGGAGTTGTTGGGCGTACCGGGGTGAAATCACTCCTGAGGCGTGTGGCATAGGATGTAGGATCCATTTCTCCAGTGACCCTTGAATCCAACACCATCTCTCCAGGAAGTCTAAATGGCGTGCCAAAAACGAACTCAGCAGGGCAACAGCCTATGTCTTCCTTGACCGTGTTACGTATGGCAAGTAGGATTATCGGCAAACGTTCCGACCATTGCGTGCTTGACTGAGAAGCGGTAATCGAAGCTTTCATTTGGCGATGGAAGCGTTAGACCAAACCATTGGCAGCGGGATGGTAAGCGGTTGTGCGTATGTGAGAACAACCGAGCAAACGAGTTAGATCACGAAACAACGAAGAAGTGAACTGCGTACCTCTGTCTGTGGTGATAGTAGCAGGTGGGCCAAAGAACGAAATCCAGGTTTCGATGAAGGTTCGCGCTACTGTTTCAGTGGAAACGTCCCGTAATGGCACTGCATGCGGCCAACGTGTAAATCTATCAACACTTGTCAGCAAGTACTGAAAACCCGTGGAAGGAGGCAAAACGCCAACGATATCCAAATGAACATGCCTGAAGCGAGCATCCGGTGATGAAAAGGTGCCAGGGACAGTGATTGTATGGCGATGGATTTTACTGGTCTGACACGTAACACAGTGCTTTGCCCACTGTTGGATGTCAGAGCGCATATTGGGCCAAACAAAGCGACCTGTGATCAACTTAACAGTAGCTCGAATGCCTGGGTGCGAGAGCCCGTGGAAATGATCGAAAACGACTCGGCGGTCACGTCGGGGTCACCAAATATGTAGTGAAAACTAGTCTTAAACTACCGCACTGGAAGGAAAGGATTAGTGTTAGATAGGAGTATCAACACGCTGACCTTCAGTAGTGACGGTTGGACTAACTCCACTGATATTGCACACTCCCTGATAGGTTATTCCGGTGTTGGTTCCGCGAAGCTCAGACTTTCCAAGCACACCAACAAAGCAATCGCAACACGCCGCCCCAGGAAAGCAAAACGCGCCGTTCGAGGTCGAGAATTGTGTATATGAAAAGCGGTCAATTAAAACAACTGTACAAGACGCATAGAAAAAGGAGATGAGAAAAGCGCAGGACTCCTCTCCTAGAGCGTGCGTGGACAAGCGAATGCTCGAAATGTACGTCTCACTGATTGTAAAACGCTAGTTTAGAAGGAAGAACCACCGTACGACCAAAACGTGCGCGTTTGCGTGTGTGAGTGGTTGCAGGGGGGCTGCAGGGGGTTGTGAAGAAAGGACACTGGGATCACACATAGGCTGTGTAGGGGGAGTGCTCGGCGATGGATCGTCCTCGGGAACAGATGCGTCTGAAGATTGCTGAGGCGGAAGTGGTTCGATGTAAGCAGGTTTCAAACGATCGATGCTTATAGAGTCTTTGTAATCATTTCGGTCCAACACAAAATACTTGTCCTTGCGATCGATAACTTTGTAAGGACCCTCGTAGGGTGGCGTCAGAGGTTTACGAACAGTATCGATGCGCACATGAACGTAGTGGCAATCGCGAAGATCAGGATGGACCTGTGGGTTACGAAGCGTGAGTCGTGGAGTTGTTGGGCGTACCGAGGTGAAATGACTCCTGAGGCGTGTGGCATAGGATGTAGGATCCATTTCTCCAGTGACCCTTGAATCCAACACCATCTCTCCAGGAAGTCTAAATGGCGTGCCAAAAACGAACTCAGCAGGGCAACAGCCTATGTCTTCCTTGACCGTGTTACGTATGGCAAGTAGGATTATCGGCAAACGTTCCGACCATTGCGTGCTTGACTGAGAAGCGGTAATCGAAGCTTTCATTTGGCGATGGAAGCGTTAGACCAAACCATTGGCAGCGGGATGGTAAGCGGTTGTGCGTATGTGAGAACAACCGAGCAAACGAGTTAGATCACGAAACAACGAAGAAGTGAACTGCGTACCTCTGTCTGTGGTGATAGTAGCAGGTGGGCCAAAGAACGAAATCCAGGTTTCGATGAAGGTTCGCGCTACTGTTTCAGTGGAAACGTCCCGTAATGGCACTGCATGCGGCCAACGTGTAAATCTATCAACACATGTCAGCAAGTATTGAAAACCATTGGAAGGAGGCAAAGGGCCAACGATATCCAAATGGACATGCCTGAAGCGAGCATCCGGTGATGAAAAGGTGCCAGGGACAGTGATTGTATGGCGATGGATTTTACTGGTCTGACACGTAACACAGTGCTTTGCCCACTGTTGGATGTCAGAGCGCATATTGGGCCAAACAAAGCGACCTGTGATCAACTTAACAGTAGCTCGAATGCCTGGGTGCGAGAGCCCGTGGAAATGATCGAAAACGACTCGGCGGTCACGTCGGGGTCACCAAATATGTAGTGAAAACTAGTCTTAAACTACCGCACTGGAAGGAAAGGATTAGTGTTAGATAAGAGTATCAACACGCTGACCTTCAGTAGTGACGGTTGGACTAACTCCACTGATATTGCACACTCCCTGATAGGTTATTCCGGTGTTGGTTCCACGAAGCTCAGACTTTCCAAGCACCCAAGCAAAGCAATCGCAACACACCGCCCCAGGAAAGCAGAACGCGCCGTTCGAGGTCGAGAATTGTGTATATGAAAAAACGGTCAATTAAAACAACTGTACAAGACGCATAGAAAAAAGAGATGAGATATGCGCAAAAAATGAAAAAGCTATGAACACTACAAGGTCATCAGCAAAGAATAGTGACGACACTTTAAGCTCCTGGGGTAGGTCATGGACGTAAATTGCGAAAAACAATGGCCCTAGAACTGAGCCCTGCGGAACGCCACTAAGAACAGCTTGTCTAAGCAAAAGGCTACGTCCCACGCCTACACACTATTCTCCCCTCTAGAAAAGCAGAGACTCATTGAAGGGCGTCTCCAGATGGCCCATATGATCTCAACATCAATGAGAGTCGTTGATATGGGACAGTATCAAA